TCACCCAAAGTAGGACAACCTAATATCAAGTGCCATTGCATAAAATGAAAATGAAAAACAGAACATGGCCCATTGAGTATTCTTGGCTAAATATTTTAACCTACATCTAAATTTGAGGAAATGACTCAGTCATATCCAGAATGTGTAAACCTCAGTGAGATAATTTGCCTAAATTCTTAAAAAAAAAAAGTGTTATAAAAAACAAAGAGATGGAAGACTTGTCTTGATTTAAAAAACAAAACAAAAAAACCCCACAGATCTAACCAAATGCAACATGACATTTAACTGGATCCTGAATTGAAAAACCAAAGCCAAAAACCACCACAAACAACATTTTGAGACACGTGGGGAATCTGAAATTAATGTTAATATCGTTAAGTGTGGTACTAGTTTTGTGGTTATATAAGGGTTTGTTCTTCCTCCTAGGAAAGGCATGCTGGTACAGCGAACGGTCCACCTGGTCATTTTGAAATGGCTCAGTAAGAACAAATGGAGTGCAAATGAGACCGGGAGGAGGGCAGCGGGAGGAGAGACATATGGGGATGGGCAGATCTTGGTGAGGCGTGTAAAGAGGTTCATTTTTCTGGCTTTCAAATTTCCTGAAGTTTGAATATTTCCAAAATAAAAAGCTGGAGGAAATAAAGGAGAACCACAGAGCAGTGAAAGTACTACACATCCTGTCACAGGGGTGTGTGCCCAAGCAAGAAGCCCTAACAGCTATCTTAGTTATAATAAGGTTTCTTGACACAAACCCCAAATCCTCCAATAGAAGAGGCAAGAAACAAAGGCCAGGAATGACGCATTCTGCCACCATTTTCTGCGCACACTTAAAAGAAATTTCCTAAACTGTCAAAAGAATTCTAATCCTCTGAACTTGTTTTACTTGGTTCTTATAAATGTGTTGAAGGGTGGTATCATTTGAGGAGCTGTTTCTAAAAGGGAATTTTATTTTACACTACTGGAGCATTCTCTCAGTTGGGAAGAACATAGGAAGTGTAGCTGCTTTCTCTAAGGTGAAGATACTAGAGAATAAAGTAGAGCTGTGTGGTGTACCAAGATCCCCAATATAATTTAGGACATTGTGGGAAGGTCCTTGGGAACAATCTTAATTATTTTTAAATTGGCTAGTGCTTTCAATCATTAACATTGTATTTTGTATTTTATAGTATTCGTCTATAATCAAATACATTTTTATTACGTTACGTTAGTCACCACACAGTACATCATTAGTTTTCGATGTAGTGCTCCATGATTCATTGTTTGCGTATAACACCCAGTGCTCCATAAGCAAAAGTACTGGCTTGAGTATATGACAGTTACTTCTAATTCTTCTAATTACATCTGATTTAATACTATTTAAAGAAGTTCAATTCAGATCCAGTATGTTTCTACATTCCTTTTCATTAACTATATAATTTCAATAGTCATCACTGAATCTCTTTCTCGTAAACACTAGAATTTAGAATACCCATCTAAGAATCACATTATAATAATGGCCCACTAATACTCTTGTTCACTAGGAATATTATTCTCCCCAAAACAATCATTTTTAATTTAACTTGTTTTGAGAAAATTTACAAAATATATCTTAAAAAGAATCATATTGTCACTCAGGTTCAAGTAAAAAAGAAAAAAAAAAAACTGAAGAAAGCTAAATGCTAGTCTTTGGTCAAATGTTTCCCAATGAACTGTCATCACAAAGGGGCAGAAGTGATGCTAACAGCACAGCCAGGGGTGCCGCTCCCTCTGGATGAATCTCTCAGGGCCACCCGGTGTGGAGTGCGGCCTGTACGAGCTGGGAGGGGCACGACCTTACCAGACCTGCAGCACCAGTTTCCAGTCTGCATGCAGCTAGACTTTCCACCCTGAGGAACTGACCGCAGTCTTCATTTGACTAGGAAAGCAAAGCATTTGCTGTTTCCACAATATTCTCTCCCCCACCCCCCATTTTCTACCCGTGTGGCCGGTCCTGTGTGAAATGGATGAGAGGCGGGGCTGCGGACAGTGACAAGGACTCAGGGACGAGGGCCACACTGCTCGAGCAGCATCTACAACAGGAAGCAAGTTCAGCATCTTCTTTTAGCTAAGAGGTCCACCAACAAGGGAGGAAGAAACTAAGTATGGTCTACTGTGTCTATTCTAAGAAGCTCTTCTAAGCAGTTCACAGACCAAAAGAGGACATATCAGGGATCACATGAGCCATGGCAAATCCGCCAATTTAAAACCAACTTTAAGAAAAGAAAAGAAAGGGCGCCTGGGTGGCTCAGTCGTTAAGCGTCTGCCTTCGGCTCAGGTCATGATCCCAGGGTCCTGGGATCGAGTCCCACATCGGGCTCCCTGCTCAGCGGGAAGCCTGCTTCTCCCTCTCCCACTCCCCCTGCTTGTGTTCCCTCTCTCATTCTCTCTCTGTCTCTCTCTCTGTCAAATAAATAAAATCTTTTAATAAAAAAAAAAGAAAAGAAAAGAAAGCAGTATTTTCATGAGGATCATCTATGAGAAAAGGAAGGGGAGAAAGGAGATATGGGGAAAATATCTGTGGATCAAAATATCCAGAAGAGGATTTTCCTCCACAAAAATTTCAGAAACTGCTCCTTTAGATAATACATTAAACCTTACTTAAAAGAAACTGCGCTGTTGTTTAAAAAAAAAAAACAAAAATCAAAACTAGGCCCGACTTAGGGTGCGTCAGTAACTATCACACAAATGTGAAAGTGAACCAAAATGTCCACATGCATCTTTCTTCATCAAAATGTGAATGTGGTCTCAAAGAGAAATTCGACTCACTCGACAGAAAGTGCAACGTAACAAGAGCTACATGTGTATAAGCGATGAACTTGAAAGCTTCATTAAAGGAGCAACTGAAATACACTCCCTCAGACTCACTTAGGAAAAATGGCAAAGACAGAAGATGATCCTTTATAAGTAGATGGGAAAACATTAAAGCATTCTGAATTTTATGAAAAATTCATTTAATAAAAATTTTAGAAATAATGGTAATCATGAGAATACACAATCCAAAATGAATCAAATTTACAACAAGTGGGTTCTAACTAACGGGTCCCTGATTGAGGAGGACCCTAAGGAACTTTAGTGCTCTGGAAAGAAAATGCTAATTCCTAGACTTCAAAAGGCACAGCCGGCTCAGGAGCGAAGAGCTACCACTCGTGTTTCTGTAGTGCAGTCAATTAGGCTTCTTTCCTCTAACCAGCACCAACAGTACGCTCATGCAACCGTTCTACCTTCTTGTGGTTTTACTACAAAACATGTCATCTTCGAGATATGATAAATATCCAAATTACCAAGTTCACCTTCCTCCCACCCCTTATCTCGCCACCCACTAATTCCCTGTCCAGAAAAAAATCACCGAAATGTTAAACACCACTGTATTAGTCTCTAAGGGCTGCTGTAACAAATCATCATAAACTTGCTGACTTAGGACCACAGAAGTCTCCTCTCACAGTTCTGGAGAAAAGAAGTCCAAACTCGAGATGCTGGCAGGGGTGGTTCCTTCTGGAGGCTCCTAGCTTCTGGTGGCCACCAGCAATCCTTGGCCTTCCTGGACTTGGAAACGCCTCTCTCTAATCTCTGTCTTCACAGGACCTTCTCCTGCTTCTCCTCTTCTCTTCTTATAAGGATGCTTGTTATGAGGCTTAAGATTCATTCAGATAATCCAGAATGAGGTCATCTCAAGATCCTTAACACTTTATCTGCAAAGGCCCTTTTTCCAAGTAAGGTTACACTCACAGGTTCCAGGCTGTCCTATCCTTGGGTGGGGGGGGGGTCACCACTCCACTACAGTCACTGTCCTTCTATGGTTAGCTATACCCTTATTACCAAGAAAAGCTTGCTTCTTAAAAGAATTTCAGAAACATATCATACCATCATCTTTTTTCCAAAGCTTGTTTTACTTCAGTATTAGTTATCTGATAATTCTTTTCAGTTGGATCCATTTCCACAGAAATCCTCCTGAGTGTTTTCATTAGTCACCGTGAACAAGACTGGCATGGTCAAAGAGGCAGATATCAAGTGCTTTACCCACAAGAATAGCATTTTCATGGACGACCGAAGTAGACACCTTTTAGTGAGTCTTACACATTGACCTGGGTAGTCACCAGTTTCACTGGATTGTGTTTTAATTGTGTTTTAATTTCTCCTTATCCACCCTAATCAGGATAAGCTGATTAAAAAGATAAACTCTTCTAATGAGAAGGTTAAACAGACGACTTTATAACCTGTCCAGGTACAAACATGCCTGAAGTGTTCAAACACTGCTTTTAATTTTTAAACTGTTACTGCTATTTAATTCATATACTAATAAATTCTCAATGTGCACATCTCAAATGAACCCCACTTCCTGAGAGAACAACTTCATGAAACGGGAATAGCTCCAAATTCTCTCATCAGACAAAAGAACCAAAATTTCAGATTTACTGGGTGATACAAGATTTCATTATCAATGTTGGAAAAGTGCTTTCTTAAATGAGTCTTCCCAAAACGCAGCTCACCTATCTTTTTTGTAGTGACAGAAGAAACACCTCAGCTCCAAATTCAGGCCACCACCCACCAACCCCAACTCTTGTCCTGCTGCCCAGAAACACAAAAAACCTGGCACGAAGCCTGGCAAGCCCTACCCGCTCCTCCAATGAGGTCTGACCACGAGCGGGCCGCTCTCTGAGGGCATGCACATTTATATACCCACACAAAAGTTTCAAAATATCCGTGCAATCCTTCAAGAAAAATGTGACTGATACAATAATTTAAAAATTAAGAAATTATACAGAAAAGCCCAGGAGACACCACAAAAAGAGAGCAATACCCAACATACCCAGCATCTTCTCAACTACCTAAGCTAAAAGAGCACATTTTGAATAAGGACTTTGCTACAAAAGCAAACAATATAGTATCAGTCTCTTTATCGAAAATGCTGCCTTTTCAATTAACACCCTTTTGCCTTATGCCCTGTTGTTGAAAATAAATCAATGGGTGTGAACAACTCATACCTCCACCAGGAATGATTGCCAACTTTGTTTCAACCAAGCCCATTTTTGCAGAGGAAGCTAAAAAGGAAGGAAGAAAATTAAGTAAAATCCATATCATCAGATTCAAATATTATGACTTGAAAAAGTTAGTAAAATCAGCTACAAATATTCTGTTTACTAATTAAACCTGTGTCACAAATCTTCTTAAAAGTTGCTTCAGAAGGCATTTAGTTACAGAAATAAGTCAACACCGTAAATGATACACATTAAGAGATTCACATAACATTTCCTGTTAAAAATTGCTCGGCAGTGAATGAATTTTCGATGCAGAAAGACCAGGGTTACAACTACATAATTTGACCTGATACTGCCAAGTCATGTTTGAAGGCTTAGACCGCATTAATTATTCAGGATGAGGAGCATAGGCTGTATCTGACAAGCAGGAATCTCTAGCTGCCCAGAGAGCCCTCCAAATCAAACAGCTTAATATATCATATCAAATATGGCAGCTTGTCAGGGCCGAATCTCTAGTTACTTTTGACAAATGGTTTTACTGTTCTGACAGCTGGACGGGGCTCCTCTTCCCGTGTTTTGTTTTCACGGCTACTTTAAAAACATCTTAATTATTTCTTTATTTGCACAGCCAAATGTACTTGGACCACCTCCCATATCCTAATTCCCAGAATCTGCCCTCTTTCAGAAATGGACTACATGTACCTTAGCTTTTACACTTAAAACTCATGATTTCAGACAAGTAAGTAGAGATCTAAAATAAAGTGGAAAGGGGAAAAGAGTCCACATGGACTAGCAGCTACAAATCCCAAGAAACAGTCAAAAATTATTGAAAACATAATTATATTGACTAGTTTTAACAGGCAGCTGCTCCAGGAGTGATAGGGGGGCCGGGGGAAGAATGGTGACAGATAGCTGTTGCCTGCTTCACCCAGTCCTTGGTCCCAGGGCCCCTTTATGTCACCCCAGTGTGACCATATGGTGGCAGTCTGCGGGGCTCTCGCAGGATAGGGGGAGTGACGGCCGTGGTGCCAGACTGCCTGGGTTCCAATCCCAGCTCAGCCACTGATTCTGGGCCTGCTACGTCTCGTCTCCGTGCCCCAGCTTCCTCAAGCACCAGACAGCGCCTATCACAGAGGGTTAATAGGCCGACTGTGTGAGGTAATACACGTCAGGGGCTTCGAGCAGGGCTGGGCACTGGGTCAGCGCTCAGCACACGGCCAGCACTAACTGTTCTCATTATTATTTTCATCATCACCTCATCCGACCCACAGGAAACCAAGCAAGAAGAAAGTGAACCTCAAAGAGATTAAGTTATCATTCCTGTAGCTGACATGAATTAAGTGCTTGAACTGGGCACATGCCACAGATTAGTTCACTTGATCTTCACAACAGCTCCTGTCATTTCCCCCATTTTAGAGGAGGAAACTGACTGGACAGGAGCTGCGATTCAAATTCAGTTCTGTCTGACCCAATTCCCATTCTCCTCCCCTACTGCCAAGGCCAATAAAGAGACTCTAACAGACTGTTTTCTTAACTGGGAATCTTCAATACTTCATCAAACCCAATGGGTGACTTCTTCTAAATGTTCTACTCAACAACAGAGAAGAATAAAATATTTGGAATTATATGAAGAGTAAGCACAAACCTCATTTCTAATAGGATTAATTCTCACCTGCTACGCGTATATCACATGCTAGAGCCAGCTCAAGGCCACCACCCAAAGCAAGTCCATCTATCGCTGCAATTGTTGGCACCGGAAGATTAGCTGAAATAGAAGGAAAGATTTTATGTTTCTTCAGGAAGATCGCTACTTCACTATGTAATTTATTTCAGACTCTTTTTTGTGAATTTATTTTTAAATGGGATACCACATTCAGAATTGTGCAGTCCTTTTCCTTTAACAAAATAGTCATTTCCTTTGTTGTTATTCTTCAAAAACATGCGATGATTGTGTAGAGTTCCACCAAATAAACATGCAATAATGTCTTTAAGTCTTCCCATATCATTGAAATACTTCCATAAATATTTTTTATTGAATTAGCACAATTACAGTTCCAACTTTGTAATCTCAGAGTCTAACATCTTTTTTTTTAAGATTTTATTTATTTATTTGACAGAGAGAGACACGGGGGAGAGAGAGAGAGCACAAGCAGGAGGGAGGGGGAGAGGGAGAGGGAGAAGCAGGCTTCCAGAGGAGCAGGGACCCCAATGCGGGGCTCGATCCCAGGACCCCGGGATCATGCATGATCTGAGCCGAAGGCAGACACTTGACCAACTGAGCCACCCAGGTGCCCCGAGCCAAACGTCTTTTATGAGATGTTTGGTTCATACAAATTTCTATTTGAAATGACTTAGGTATAACTGCAAAATTCATGATCCTTTATGGGTCATCATGGTACTCAGAATGACAGTCTCATCCAATGAAGTAATAAAATCTTCTCAAACCAGACAAAAGCAGACTGAGTGGCTGCTTGGGCCCTGCCCACTAGTTCTATCGCTGAGGAACGAGAACGACACGCCCTAGCTAGAAAATGATCAGGCTCTATCAAACAGCACACTTGAGATGGAAGAGTCATCTGAGAAGGTCCTGAGGACCTTCCCAAAAGCATGCCTGGGAAGGGGTCAGCCAACCACCGAGCTCAAACCAGACTTTCTTGAGCCCCGAATATTGTTTTAATGAGATTTTGTAAATTAGAACATACAAATTTCATTTTTATAACTGGTTCAAAAACTGACTGGTTAATTATTCTGTGAAGCAAACTCCTCCTTATTAATTTTATTTTGACAATGGTAATATGAAGCGAGGCTGGCCAAACTTATTATAGTATAAAAAGAACGTACCATCTCTTCTTGACTGCTCTGACAACAAATAAGAAATAATAATCACGTGGTGTGAGGTACTGGCTAATGCTACAGGGGTAATCTTATTGTAATACATAAAAATAGCAAATCAACACGTTATATACCTTAAATTTACACGTCATATGGAAATTAAAACTCAATTTTTAAAAAATAAGTAAAACGTAAGGAAGGAAGTAAACAGATAGTACCATCCCTAAAAATCTCTTTCTTCCACAGGTATTCTGAAATATGAAATTCCAGTCAGAGAGGTTCATTCTTTGACTCCTTTTAAAATATACGAATTTGTTGAAGTACACTGAGGTTTAGTCACACATGAAGGAATTTATCAGACTTATTTTAAGAGTGCAGTCTGAAAAGGCTGGGATGGAGCACATACACATACTGCCCCCGAAGACAGAAGCATCCCGGGAGAGCAGGGTTGGATGGGGCTGCAGAGCAGGCGTGCTTCAACTGTTTGGACCTGCCTGAACATTCAGGGGGGAGGTGAGGGCTCGAAGGGCCAGGCCAGACTCAAAGGTACGCCCCGGGTACACTTCACAGCACACTTGGTGAACAAATAGACAGCTATGTCAGGGTCTACTGTTAGGAAATGAATTTAATGAAAACACAGTATCTGGTTAAGTTTATCTGTCAAAAAAAAAAAAGAAAGAAAGAAAGAAGGAAAGAAAGATCAATAAAGAAATATAATGGCAAGTCCATCTGAGTGGCTTCCAAGATCATCTCAAACCACAAGTCAAGTGGAGTTACTCTGCTACCCAGCTATCAATCCTTTCTTTCTAAGAACCTAGCGATAGAAATGATCATTATTTCTAGACTCCTCCGGTCTCTTGCTTCCCCAGTCTCATGTCTCTCCCATCAGAACCTTCCCCTCGGCTTCCTTCCAGCTCACATACTTCTAGGACAAGCCTCCTGAGGGAGGAGAGTAAAGGAGCACCAGCACTGCCACTCGCCACCACTGTAGAGCTCCAGCTACACCCCACTTCTCCCAGACTGCTCCAGCTCTGCTTTCAGGGGCTGTCCCGTAACCAATGGGCACTATCTGGTCCCTATTAAACTTGCTGCCTCTGATGATCAGACATTAGTGCTGGACACTTCTCCATGAATTCCTCTCTTCATTTGCCTGGTGAACCCCTCTGTCAACTTTCCTGTCTTTCTTTCCACTTCCCGTTATTTCTCAACCTTCTTCGCCTCCCAACAGAAACTCCGCCCAGGAGGTCTCATTCCCACCCAGAACTTTTATCACACAGAATACCAAGGATGTCCAAATCCCTACCTCAAACCCAAACCTCCCTCTCAACTGCATCTCTCTGACTACCTGCCTATTGGGACATCTCCATTTAAATGCTTTCATGTTCAAACCAACTTCTTGTTAGTCCTTCTAGATTCTGTTTCACACGTGGCAGTATCTCCACCCACCAAGCTACCCAAGACATACCCAGAGTCATCCAGGATGTCCTCCTTCCCACAGCTCACAAAGCTGCAAGCCCCCCTCCCTTTCCTACAGCCAGAGTCCTGGGTCCCTTCATTCCTCAGCAGCAGGAAGTCCCTACCAGACTTTCACCAGTGACTGGCCCGTTCCAATGCCTCTTCCATATTTCCTGTATTATAATCTTTCTAAAATGCAAATGCAGTCATGCTATTCCCCCATTTAAAACTGTACAATGATTTATTCCACACTCGGGATAAAAATGGAGAAAACAATTAACATGGCACAGGAGGCACCTGATAAACTATGTTCTGTCCACCTGCCCCAACTCTCTCCAACCTCAGGCACATACTCTTTGTCCCAGAAGTTCTTCCCATCCATGCCTGTGGACAAGCGGCCCTCTGCCTGGCATGCCTAGCTAGTACCTAATGATCTTTCAAGGCACTGCTCAAAAGTCCCTCCCTCTGCGCCTCCATGGCACTCTGTACGTACTTTCTAACAGAGCATTTACCACCATATCACCCATTCTGAAACAGAGATGAACATTACATCAGTGCTGGAAAATAACATCCTTCTTCCTACTCTGGGACTGTTTCTTCTGTCCCTATGACTTTAAACCTTGTATTCTCCTTGCTTTTCTTATTATGAACTTCTTTCACTTAATACTTTAAAGAAATAACATGAATATATGTAGCCCAATGGAGCTACAGAAAAGATCGATAAAGTGTAAAGGGTTCCGGAGCGGGGGAGAGAGACCAGGAAGAGGGTGGAGGTGTTCTCTCCTTGCCTTGTGAAAATGCCGAAGGCGCTCGGCAGCCACCTGCAGGAAGCTGGCTCTGCAGAGATAGGAACCATAAAGGTGAGTTTAAAAGATCTCTACAATCAAACCCAGGCCTGAAATATATGTACTACTGAGTTCCAGTTTCTGAAAATTCCAACTCCTAGCTAATAGGGGTTTTCTCATATTCTTTAGATTCCACCCCCCAAACTCATATGCAAAGAGGAATTTTTCTTTGCATTAAATCGTGAACTGAAAATGTAAACTAAGTACATGGGCCGAAGGAATAAGTTGACTATAAATTACAAAAGTAAAATTCCACAAGTTCATAAGCCCTGAAGCATCCCAGTAAGCATACAGCAAGATTACGATCTGTGGTCATCTATAATGTTCGCAACACTACATCAGGGAACAGATGCCTCAAAAAGACCTGGCAAGGCTTTGCTCTACAATTTTATTAGTTAATATTTTCAAATAAATATCATACTTAAAAATCATACTAGCCAATAGAAAGTTTAAAAGCTTTTATTTTTTAGAAGTATAGAATGTCATTAAAAGGAAAAAAAGAGGTAATGTACATTAAAAACACAAATAAAAATGATTAGTAAATATACCCTCCCTTTCACTGTAAGAGGTGCTATAAACAAACATGTTGATAAAATAAAACGGTGGGGGAGAAGGCATGCGCACCAGGCAGGTTTCAGGTTCTGCCTGACCTAGAGTAAGAAGGTAGGAACCAAGGAGAAATAAACAAATGCAAACATGCTAATCTGGGAGATGGGGGTGGGGGAAAGTGGTGAAATGAATTGTCTCATGCTCAAATTTTCTTAATCCTGAAGTTAAAGAAGTAACACTTTCCCCCTATATGCTTCTATTCTTTGGAAATAATGATAATTATTTTTAAATTTGATAGTTAAAAACTTAAGAAATTTTCTCAAGAGGCTAAAAGTTTTTTAACATTACATTTTATGTGAAATATATAAAATAAAATAACAAGAAATGTAGGGTCAGGTCCTTATACAAAACAAGGAAAATAGGGTATTAACACTCTCAAATCATTAAAAAGGTAAATTACTTTCTCCTTTCAAATGCTAATGAACATAAATTAGCATTATATAAAGCAGTCAATAAAATTTTTCCTACTAAAAAATTACTTAAGCAGAACAGCTCAATTAGCATTCAAGGAGTAATTAAATTTCAACCATTTTACAATATTATAAATTCTAAAGTTCTAGTGTGTCAACTGTATGCTTCAATTAAAAAAATTTCTTTAATTAAAATTTGTTTTTTAATCTTAAATTTTATGTACTCTTAATCTTTCCCTGAAAGACGTCTCTCTTAGCAAATTTTCTTCGGGAAAAGATGAGTCATCCCAAAGCACATGCTAGTTTCATGGTTACCTCATATGCTTGTTTTTACATCCAGTATTTTTTCTGCTTGGTAGCGCTTAATAATCTTAGTGGACTTAATACAACACACTTCAGAAGGGCAGATCATCCGCCTCAGAGAACTGAGAAATATCACAACGGCGGCTGGGTAAGAGCGTGGCTGGATGACACGGGAGCCGCCAGGAACAGAGACTATTCCCAACAGCAAAAGGAAGAAATTATCACTCGGCAGGTTACGCAACCAACAGGATCAGATACTATTTTGAGTTTAGTACCAGGAAATAGGCCAGGTATGACAAAGAACATAATAA